CAGCCGCAGAAGGCGGCCGCCGGCAGGAAGAAGAGCCAGAACCTGTCGTACCAAGCCTGGTCGGAGCTGTAGTAGAAATGAGCCAGGGCGCTGCCGTATTGGTAGGTGCTGACACCCACGTAGTCCACGAAGTAGAAGGTGTAGTGGTACAGCTCGGATTTGGACTGCAGGAGGTGGGCCAAGAGGCTGCAGGTCAAGTAGGTGACGGAGGAGAGGACGAAGACCAGCAGAGGCAAGGACCACGCGTCCACCGGCGGCCGCTCGGCCTCCAGGAAGCTCTTGAACCTCAACAGCACGGCCAGCGCCGCCAGGAGGTGAGTCCAGACGTTGACCACCTCGTTGTGCTTCTGGAAGAGGCTGAGGAAGTAGTAGAGCCAGTGGTGGCCGGCGGGCCGGTAGCCGCCGTGGATGTAGGGCTCGCGGAAGAGCTGCGGCACCTCGGACTCCTTCACCGTGCGGGGCATCTTGGGGAAGCCATCCTCCAGCAGCCTGGGCAGGCGGCTGAGCTGCTGCCCGCTGAGGGACAGCGTGCTGATCCTCTCCAGGATGGCTGTCATCTCGGAGCTGTCCTCTGCAGAGCCTCCACCGTGCCCTGCAGGGGGGAGAAAGAAGGAACGTGAGCAGGGGCGGGTCGGGGAGAGGAACGTGCTGCCAGTCCTGGCTGGGATGCCCCGTGGTGAGACACTGGCCCTGTCCTTGGGGAAAGGGGCTTTTCCTGCCTGGGCAGACCTATATTTGCAGAATTGGAGAATGGTGGGGTTCGAAGGGAGCTCTGGAGAACATCTGGTCCAACCCCCCTGCTCCAGCAGCTCACCCACAGCAGGGTGCCCAGGGTCACAGCCAGGTGGGTTTGGGATCTCTCCAGAGCAGGAGACTCCACAGCCTCTCTGGGCAGCTGCTCCAGGCTCTGACGCCCTCCCAGCAGAGAAGTTTCTCCTCCTGCTCAGGTGGCACCTCCTGGGTTCCAGTTGGTGCCCGTTGCCCCTTGTCCTGTCCCTGGGCACCACTGACCAGAGTCTGGCCCCAGCCTCTTGCCCCCCGGGGCCCTTTAGCTCTTGCTCAGCACTGCTCAGATCCCCTCTGAGGCTTCTCTTCTCCAGCTCAGCAGCCCCAGGGCTCTCAGCCTGTCCTGGCACAGAGATGCTCCAGCCCCTCAGCAGCTTCACAGCCTCCACTGGACTCTCTCGAGTAGTTCCTTGTCTCTCTTCAGCACAGAGAAGGATGGCAGAGCCCTGTCCCTGCAGCCCAGCCTACATCAGATGGGCACAGCAATGTCACAACCTGTCCTTTTTCCTCACTTCCTTGGGCACTCAGCTTGGAGCATGCTCAGGAGTAGCCAGGAGCTGCCAAGAAGCGGGTGCAAGAAGCAGCTGGATGTCAAGAAGGCACCTCATGATCTGCAGAGGGAATTTTTCACCCCTTTCCCCACAACAAGCTGCTCAGGGACCAATTTAGGGTGTAGCTGCTCACCTAAGGGTTCACCTGCCCTTCTGCACCTGAGTGAGGAGGGTCCCAACCACACGACCTGCACGTGGGTTGCACACCAGGGGCTGCTGGAGTGAGCCCAGCAGAGGGAGAAGGGGAGAAGTCCACAGTTCAGAGCTGCAGCCCTCAACCCCCCACGGATGAGAAGCAGCAGGACTGGGAGGTGATGGAGAAGTGAGAGGCTGGGCCTTGGAGCTGGCTGCAGTTTGGGTATAGCCTCGAAGCCCTGGGAGCAGCCATGGAGCCATGCTGAGGGGCTGCCAGAGGAGACTCAACGCTCCAGGCCTGGGGAACAGTGGCTGGAAAGTGCCTGCCAAAAAAGGACCTGGGGGGGTTGGTCAACAGCCAGCTGGAGATGAGCCAGTGTGTGCTTAGGTGGCCCAGAAGCATCCTGTTTTGGATCAGCACTGATGTGCCAGCAGGACTAGGGCACTGAGGAAGCCACACCTCAAATCCTGGGTTCATTTTTGAGGCCTTCCCTCCAAGAAGGATCTTGAGGGGCTGGAGCGTGGCCAGAGAAGGGCAGGGAAGCTGCTGGGGAAGAGTCTAGAGCCCAAGTGTGGGGAGGAGCAGCTGAGGGAGCTGGGGGTGCTGAGCCTGGAGCAAAGGAGGCTCAGGGGAGACCTTCTGGCTCTGCACAGCTCCTGACAGGAGCCTGGAGCCAGGGGGGGGTCGGGCTCTGCTCCCAAGGGACAAGTGGCAGGACAAGAAATGGCCTCAAGTTGGCCCTGGAGGTACTTAAAAGACATGCAGATGTGGTGCTGAGGGACATGGGTTAGTGGTGGCCTGGCAGTGCTGGGTTAATGGTTTGACTGGATGAGCCTAAAAGGTCTTTTCCAACCTAAACAATTCTATGATTCTCTGATTCTATGACATGTGCCTGGATGCTCAGAGCTGCCAAAGCTGCCAAACCCCAGGTCATGGAGTCCAACATCCTGCAGGGAGCAGGGACATCTGCAGCTAGAGCAGGGTGCTCAGAGCCC